AAGAGGTAAGGTTAATAAATCAAAGTAAATGATATGTAGGTAGTCAAATTTGTAGAAAGGGTTATAAGGGGGGAAGGTATAGTTGAGAAATTTAGATCTGTGTGTTAATGCCCCATAGGGGTTAAGAGTCAAAGTCCAGAGTCAGCCTGTACAAGGCTGAATCCTAATTCCAGTACTTAGCAACCTTGGCTTTTGGCTTCTCACTTACTTGCTCTATACCTCAGTTTCCTAATCTGTAAATATTGCAGGAGGTTGGTGTGAAAAAATAATTTTTTTAAAGTACTGAGGCTAGGGCCTTTGCACTGAGCTATACCCCCATCCCTTTTTATTTTTCAAGAGGGTCTTCCTAATTGCCGAGGCTGGGATCCAACTTACAATTTTCTTGCCTCAACTTCCCAGAGTGCTGAGAAAACAGGTGTGTGCTATCACACCTGGCTTGGTATAAAAATTAAATGAGTTAATACATCTAAACCATAGATAAGAGGGCTTAGCAGACAAGTGTCAGTGATTATTTTTTGTAGCAGCAAGAGTCATTAGGGGATACTGAAAACCACAGCAATGAACACAAATTACTTAGGGTGAAAAGGCCACCAGTACTAGGCCTTGAGAAACATCAAGATGTTTAATTTCAGAGAGGTGAAGACAGGAGTAAGGGATTCTGGGAAGAATTACTTGGAAGGACAGACAGGCATGTGTAATAACATGGAAGCCGACAAAGACATTCAATAAGGTAGGTATGCGCTCTCTCTCTCTTTTTTGGAGACAAGGTCTTGCTATGCCTTGTTTAGGCTGCCCTTGAGGTCACTATGTAGCCCAGGCTGCCCTCATACTTTCGGTGATCCTCCTGCCTCAGCCTCCCGAGAGCTAGGATTACAGGTGTGTGCCACCACACCTGGCTCAAGTACAGTTTCTTATATTGTGTACTGCTATGAGATATAATTTGGCCACAAGAAGGTCACTGTCATCAAACAAGAACAGATTCAGATATGAATCAAAAATAAAACTGAAGCTAGTTGTAGTGGTACTCAATCACAGTACCAGCTACTGAGGAGGCTGAGCCAGGAGGACCCAGTGAACCCAGGATGAAGCTAGTATGGGCAACAAATCAAGACCCTGTCTGAAAAAAATAGAAAAATGGACGCAAGTGGAGTCAGCTTGTGCCGATGTTTTTGAGGCTTCTGAGAATGAAGTACAGCAGAGTAATGGGGCAACATATAGAAGAAGATACAAAATTAAAGGAGGAAAGTCTAGCCACATATCTGGTTTTAAAGACAGAAGATTGGAACACTTTCATAAAACATACAGCCCTCCCCACACCTCAATCCACAACAGTGGAGGGAACACACTGTGTCACCAGCTTTTTTTTGGCACTGGAGATTGAACTCAAGACCTTGCACTTGTGAGGCAGGTGGCGGAACCACTGAACTAAATCCCCGGCCCTGTCACCAGCTTTTTAAAATTCCTATCACAGCACAATTATCTTCTGCATGGCTTGTAAGCAGTTCAAAGGTGGAAGAGGTTGTCTTATTCATCTTAATTCCCCAGAGCCTGCTGAGGAGGGGAGAGGCATGTTTGTGGTATACAGCGGACCCTAGAGTTACGACCAGCCTCACATATGAACAACTTGGGTTACAACTGGAATTTTAGTTTTGACTTAAGACCAAAGTCTTGAGTTATGACCCGAATGCTAGTCTTTCCGGTGTGGAGTTAATTGAGAAATCCTCAATTAATTGAGAAATGTCTCTCTAAGGACAATGAGATCTACCTGGAGAAAGTAAGGCCTAAAATTATACAAGAGAGAGACTTTGAAGGCTGTGTAGAGGAGCCTGAGCCTTCAACTGACCCTGTGATTGATGACAGTATCACTATAGCAGAGTCCATAGGCTTGCAGGTAGACAGTGGTGATGCTGAGGAACTGGTGGAGGAATGCTCAGAGGAACTGTCTACAGAGGAACTTCAGCAACTTCTGGCTGAGCAAGACAATGGCATCTGAGGAGCTTTCTGAAGAGGAGGGGAGTGTCAACAATCAGTGCAGCAAAGTTCCTCTTCTGAAATAAAGGAAACCCTGAAAAAATGGACAGAGCTACAAACATCTGTAGAGAAGACCCACCCTGACGGAGAAAAAGCCAATCGGTGCATTCACTTGCTTAATGGTACTGTCACATCATACTACAGAACAGAGTTAAAGAAAAGACAGAAACAGGGCTGGGGATTTAGCTCAGTGGTTCCAGCGCCTGCCTCAAAAGAGCAAGGTCCCAAGTTTGATCCCTGGTACCAAAAAAAAAGACAGAAACAGGGCCAGAGATTTAGCTCAGTGGTTTTGCCACCTGCTGCACAAGCGCAAGGACTCAAGAAAAGACAGAAACAGACAACCTTAGACCAGCTTTTAGTTCTGAAAAGGCTGAGACCTAGTGAGCCAGAAGCAGGTCTTAGTGGGCTACAGACTCTCCCAAGGAGAGAAAGGACACAAGAGAGCCAGATTCCTGATGTTCTCATGGAAGGGGACTCTCCTTCCAAACAGTAATCACCTTCCACTTCATCCTCCCTTCCTGAAAGCAAGATACCAATTTAGTAACTTTGAATGCGAATGCTGACCACAGTATGAAATTGTTGTTTCTGGTAAACTAGGTACATTTTATAACTTTTTGGTGACTACGTTAGAAAAATTATTGGTGTTTCTGGTAAATTATGCACATCATACAACTTTTTTATTATGAAAAGGTTAGTCAGGGGTGCTATGGGAGATTTGGAACACATTATGAGTATTTTCATTACTTCTTATGGGAAAAAGTCTTGAGTTACAACCAACTTAAATTACAACCAGCCCTCATGAACTTCCTGACTTTTCCTAATAATACTTTACATAAATCCCTATACAATTCTGTCCAAAGAGACAGTTTCTGAAGAATTTGGACCCAGTGAAATAAACTACAGAAGATTTTCTCCTACTAAAGAATCCAAACATACAAATTACAAGCAAAGAACAGTAAGTACCAAAATAGACCTGCAACTAAATGGGACCATTGGGCCCAGGAGAAATAAGGGAAGGCCTAATGTGCACCATCCCTGTGAACAAAAGCTGAGCATAGAACTGGGTGTGGTGGTGCACTCCTGTTATCTCAGCACTCTGGGAGCCTGAGACAGGAGGATTGCAAGTTGGAGGCCAGCCTGGGCAATTTAATGAGACCCTGTCTATAAATAAATCAGTAAATAAATAAATAAAAAGTATTAGAGATGTAGCTCTGAGCAAAGGCCTTTTGTTTGATCCTCACTAACACACACACACACACACACAGAGCTTAGTACACAGCCCCATGCAAATGTTCTGGATGGTTTCTGCTCAATGAAATCAATTCTACATAACTCTATTTCATTTCTCTTGTCATCAGGACTCTAGAAATCCAGAAATTTTAGATTTCCCACACAGACAGATCCACTTTAACTTCACTTTGGAAAGACAACACTCTATTCCCCACACTAACTACTCTCCCACTATTTCCCTGTCATGTTGCCCTAGGCTGTATCCTTTCGGTCCATCTCTATATTTAATTGTCCATTCTTCTGTCAATCTAAGCTATAATTAGTTTGAACCTCACTTTTTCCTCAGACTCCTCTCACTTTATTTAACCTAGAATTTCTAAATTCCCAATTAGCTTGTGTGTATTATCATTTTTTTATTATGCTCCCTTGTAAATAATTCAAAACAAGAGAAATCATTAAAATTTTTCTTCTCGGGCTGGGGATTTAGCTCAGTGGTTCCGGTGCCTGCTGCACAAGCGCAAGGTCCTGAGTTCAATCCCCCGTACCAAAAAAAAAAAAATTTTTCTTCTCACTAGACTGAGGTACCTGAAACAAGGACTACTTCATTTTACTTGTAGGCCTTACAAGACATTTAGTAGGTCTTTAACAAAGTCACCTAAGATGATATATTGTTGTTGTTAGGAAACTAATTACACTTTGCTTAATCAGTCTTTCATGGCTTGAGTTTTTCAGTGTAGTCCCTCATCTAATTTGTTTGTAACTGTTTCCTCACATGCAGTCCCAGAAGCCCACCTTTAGCAGTCTCATGAGACTAAGCAGTCAATATACCACTTTTTTTTTTTGAGACAGGGTCTTGCTATATTGCTATGTACCCTAGGCTAGCCTCAAACTCATAATCCTCCTACCTCAGCCTCCCAAGAGCTGGGATTATAGGTGTGCACCACCACACCCAGGTACCTTCCTTCTTTTCTTGCAGGGCTGAGGACTGAAGGGGGTGGGCTCATGATGCTAGGAAATAATACTACTGAGCTATAACCCCTGTCCTTTGTATCCCATTCTAAAATCACCTACACACAGAACTGGAAAGTTTATTAACAATACAAAAAGATTAATCTATTCTAATCTATTCTGAGCTATCTTTAAAATTAGTAGGCATGATACTGCACACCTGGTACTCCCAGCACTCAGGAGGCTCAGGCAGGAGGATCATAGAGTGTTTGAGGATAGCCTGGGCTACACAGTGAATTCACTGAATTATATAGTGAGGCCCTGACTCAAAAAACAAAAACAGGGGGCCAAGGATTTAGCTCAGTGGTGCCACCACCTGCCTCGCAGGCACAAGGCCCCATGTTCGATCCCTGGTACCAAAACAAACAAAACCACAAAACAATAAATAAATAAACAAAATTACTAATTAGGAAAAAGACTCAAGCAGTTTTAAAGGCTAGAATTCAAACATAATTCTATTTTGGTAATTTTTCTGTAAATCTAAAATTTCAAAACAAAGAGAAAAAAAGTTCAATCTTGCTGCTATATCAGAAAACCCAATTAATCAGGAATTATCATAACTTTTTTTTTTAGAATATACCTCCTGCTTGTGTAACTGCTTCTCCTCCTCCCCCCCCCAATACTAAATACTTTATCACTGTAAGACTAACATGCCAGTAAATAAGCCAGAGCAAGTTCTGTGTTGTATTTTGCCCTGAGGGAGTAAGATGCCCTACAGATGTCTCACTTACTGAACAAGTAACCTGGAGCTGCTGCTGCTGCTGTGGTGGTGGCGGTGTCTGTTCTTGGGGAGTTTGCTGCTGTGGCTGTTGCTGGGGATCCCATATATGGACAGTCTGAGCCGTATTCTGGTACGTGCCTGCCACAGCCTGCACAGCCACTGGAATGTGGATGTTGCCATTCATGAACTGTGCTGGAAAGAGTGAGTTTGCAAGGGTCTGCACAACCTCTTCGTGGGAGTTTTTCACTACAGATGTGGTACCCACCATCTTCTCCTTGTCATCCTCCAGCTTTACAGCTGCCAGGGCTGTGGGTGAGCCACTGACATGAACTGCGTTGTAGGCTTCCTGGGGAATGGCAATGTGGGTAATGCTCTGCTGCTGAGGGTCCCCCCGGGGCTGGGCAGAATAAACAGGGATGGTCCAAGTTTCTCCTGTAGGGCTAGTAATGGTCCCAGTGGCACTGTATAGGTGGGCACTGTCTACTGTCAGCAAGTCTGGCCTCAAAGACACGTAACTCTGTTGCTGGCCCTGTGGAATGGCCAACACGGTGGCCACTGGCTGACCTGAGATGGCATAGGACACAGTGATGGGCATGTCCACTTTGCGCTTCTTCACTGGCTGGAGGACACTGGCCGTGCCAACCCGGCGCTCCCCTTCCCGAGGTGAGCCCTGCTGGGATGGTGGTGGGGAAAGGGCACCCACAGTCTGGATTTGGATCTGCTGACCCCCAGCAAGAGACTGGCCAGCAACCAGCTGAGCCTGGATTTGCTGATGTGGGATGTGCTCCTCCGGAATTTCAGCTGCTTGGATCTGCTGAGCTGCCTGCACATGCTGCACCTGGATCTGGGCCGCTTGCAGCTGCGAGGGATTAGGGCTCTGCAGAGATGGGGTCTGGATGGAAGGGGCTGCTGACTGCGGTGCCTGTCCTTGGATCTGCACCTGAACCTGGATGGGCTGCTCGGCAGGCTGGTGAACGGTGAGCTGCGGGGAGAGCTGCTGAGCCGAGACCTGCTGTGGGGACTGCTGTACCTGCACCTGTACCTGCAGCAACAAGATTCATCAGTGAGTAAACCAGGCAGCATTAAAAACCCCATCCCCAGTGATTTCAGGTAGGATCACTGTGTACTGTGAGGAGGGGCTGCCATAACCCAAGGCACAATCCTCAAAATCATACAGAAATTCTTCAGCATTACCATATTCAGTGACACATTCCACCCTGAAGAGCAAGTAAGACCTGCAGGCCAGGAAGAAATCATCAGACTGTTTGCTCACTTTTTTGTCATTGTTTTGTTTTTGTTTTTTCATTCTTTTTTTTATTTTTTCATTTGTTTTTTCTTTCTGTTTTTGTTTTTTGAGACAGGGTCTCAATATGCAGTTCAGGCTGGCCTTGAATGCATAGCAATCCTCCTGCCTCAGCCTCCCAAGTACTGGGATTATAGGCATGAGCCACTGCACCCAGCTATTTGCTCATTAACTCTTCTGTGAAAATGTGCCTTTTGTTTTTTTGTATATGGGTTTAGTAGTGTAAATATATAATCTGTAAATATATATATAGATGTATGTTCAAAAATATTTTATCTATGGCCAGGTGTGGTGGCATACACCTATAATCCCAGCACTTGGGAGGGCTGAGACAGGAGGATCACTGTAAATTCAAGGCCAGCTTGGGTTACACACTGAGTTCAAAGCCAATCTTGAACTATATAGGAAGACCCTGTGTCAAAAAACGAAAGAAATTTGGGCCCAGGCATTCAGCTCAGTGGTGCCATGCCTGCCTTGCAAGCACAAGGTCCTGAGTTGGATTCCTGGTACCAAAAAAAAAAAAAAAAAAATGTATCTATGCAATAAGTGATAAAGAGTGGGACCTGGCCGGGGATTTACCTCAGTGGTTCTGGCGCCTGCCACACAAGCGCAAGGTCCCGAGTTCGATCCCTAGTACCAAAAACAAAAAAACAAAAGTGCGGGACCACTGTTCTACATGGTCAGAAGAACAAATACATCCCACATGAATCCAATTCTCATGTGCCAAATCAGAATCAGGTGTGTGCCACTGTGTCTGGTCACAATATAATCTTATATTATGGATCGAATCTATCTACCATCATGAACACGTAGAAAATATGAAGCCAAGAGTAATGGTGCATGCCTGTAATCTCAGTAGTCTGGGAGTCTGGGACAGGATTGTAGAGAGCCCAGCCTGGGAAACTGAGCAACATCTTGTCTCAAAAAAATAAAGGCAGGTACTATTACACGATTTTTTGGAGTGCTTAAGATACATTTAAGAAAGAAAAGGCCAGGGATTTAGCTCAGTGGTGCCGCCGCCTGCCTCACAAGCGCAAGGTTCTGAGTTCGATCCCCAGTACCAAAAAAAAAATTAAACATACTATACGATAAACATAATAAACAAACCACATGACCCTGTAATTTCACACGTAGGTATCCATCCAACAGAAATGAAAATATGTGCATACAGAAACTTGTACATCGGGCCAGGGATTTAGCTCAGTGGTTCTGTTGCTTGCCTTGCAAGCACAAGGACCCGAGTTCGATCCCTGGTACCAAAAAAAAAAAAAACTTGTACATCAATGTTCACAGCATTGTTCACAATAAACAAAAAGGTCTACATTGCACTAACAGACCCAGAACATGCTACCTGAAGTCAGTCACAAAAGACCACATGGTGTATTATTCTATTTATATGAAATGTCCAAAATAAGTATATTTACTGTACAAACAGAAAGTAGATTAACAGTTGTTAGGATTGAGGGGGTAGCTGGGAGAAAATACAAAGCGACTGCTAAAAAGTATGGGGTCTCTTTATGGGGTGACTAACATGTTATAAAATATATGTGGTGATGGTTGCACAACTGTAACTAAAACACTGAATTGTATTTTTTTGGTGATGGGATCAAACCCAGGGCCCTTGCTCAGGGTAATCACATGCTATGATATACTGAGCCCCTAAACTATACACTCTAAATGAATTATATGACATGAGTTACAACTTACAATAATGCTGTTTCTAAATTTAAAAAATATACAAGCTGGGTGTGGTGGTGCATGCCTGTAATCCTAGCACTTGGGTGCTTGATTTGGCAACACATATACTAGCACTTGGAAAGCTGAGAGAGGAGGATTGCTCCAAGTTCCAGGCCAGTCTGGGCTACACAGTGAGTTCAAGGTCAATCTAAGATACGTATCGAGGAGATGGGGATTTACCTCAGTGGTTCTGCTGCCTGTCCTGAAAGCGCAAGGACCCAAGTTTAATCCCCAGGACCCGCCCCCCCAAAATAAATAAAATAAAATATATAGCGAGACCTTGTATCAAAAAAACAAAAACCAGGGGCTGGGTATTTAGTTCAGTGGTTCCGGCGCCTGCCTCAAAAGGGCAAGGTCCCAAGTTCAATCCTCAGTACCAAAAAAAACCCCAAAACAAGAAAAATATGGAAGACCATAAGCCTTAAGATCAGACTTAAATGTGAACTGATACTGCACTTTCCTGATGGTCACTGACTAAGTTACCTAATCTCTAAGCATGTTTCCTCAGGTGTAGTAACAAGTGGGAGAAGGTTCACTATGGAGTTGTGAGAACAGTATTTTAAAATACATTTATTTTAAAATGATGCCCAAGCCAGGTATGGTAGCTGAGGCAAGATCTAAATTCGAGCTCAGCCCAGGCAATTTAGCAAGATCCTGTCTTTAAAAAAAAAACAAGTTATTTATAGGAAAATGAATGCATTGTGACATGGTTTCTCTTACATGAGAAATCCAAAATAAAAATAAATTGCAAACTAAAAGATACAGCCATGTGTGGTGCCTGTAATCCCACCATTCGAGAGGCTGAGGCAAGAGGATCACTGCAAGCTCAAGGCTAGCATGGACTACACAGTGAGTTCCAGGCCAGCCTGAACTACATAGCAAGACCTTGTCTTAAATAAATAAATAAACAAACAAATAAGCAAGTAAATAAGTATATAAATGATACATAATAGGAAGTAGGGAGGAAGGGCTTTTTCAAATGGGAAGGGGATCAAGAGATGGAATTACAGGTGTGTGCAGAAATAGTTCTATGAACTGGCCATGGCTGCACACACCTGTAATTCCAGCACTTGGGAGGCAGGGGAATCACTGTGAGTTTGAGGCCAGCCTGGACTACAGAGTAAGACGCTATCTCCAAAAAAGGGGGAGTGGGAGTGGCTTAAGCATTCAGATTCTGGTATCTTATATAAGGGGTCCTAGAACCAATCACTCATAGATACCAAGGGATGGCTTAATGTGCTTAATTGTTGTTTAATTCCCAACCTTCTGGCATGCACCTCAGTCACATGCAGCTATAACATCCAGAGCTCTTTAATTTTTCACCATTCAGTTCTCTAAGAGAAACGGCATGAATCTGTGGTTTTTTCAGTTTACAGTGACTGAAACCATTTTTAATACATGTTAACTATAATAGCTTTAGTATTATATAAAGTTTCAAAGGGAGCCAGGGATTTAGCTCAGTGCTGCTGGAACCTGCCTCTCAAAGCAGAAGGTCCTGAGTTTGATCCCTGGTACCCCAAAAAAAAAAAAAAAAAAAAGTTTCAAAGACTCCCTTTTTTAAAATTTTGTGGTTTTTAATTCCTTAAATAGTTAAAGATCTGGATTGACAGTTCAAAGACTCCCTTTTAGTAGTATACACAAGGCTACTACTAATCAATCTCCAGCACTGGAAAAAAAAAATTAGAGAAAAAAACTATTCCCTTTATTGAAAATATTTTTAATAAATTTTATTTATCCCATTCCCCCCCTCCTTTTTGTTTTTTTTGTTTTTTTGAGATAGGGTCTTGCTATGTAGTTTGGGCTGGACTTGAACTCACAGTGATCCTCCTGTCTCAGCCTAAGTGCTAGGAATACAGGCGTGTCCCACCACACATTGTGCAAAAAATAATTTCTTAACATCTGTATAGATATGTTCCTAATACCCAAAATCCTGACAACAAATAAAAGTATTAAACAGGCTGCACCTAAAGATTTCCGTTTTACCTGAACCTGCTGTGGCTGCTGAACCTGGATCTGCTGTTCTTGCTGGGTCTGTGGCTGAACACTGGTGGTAACTGGACAAGCAAGTTCAAGCAAAGACCCAGCCACTTCAGTGCTGTCTGTGTAAATGCAGTTCCCACCCTGTTGGTACACCATGGTAGTGGTGGCCGTCTGCTGGAATTCCTGAAGGGCTTCTGGACCCTTAGAGGCCAATGAGTCCAGAAATTCCTTCATCCTGTGTTGTGGGACAGATCGTGCCTTCACTCGGATGTATTCTTCAAAGGAAATGGTGTTCTCCAGAGAATTATTCATATTGCAGAGTCCTTAAGGTTCCTAAAAATAAAATAAAAGGATAGAAGTCAAAATTATGCTATTGTTTTGGTTTTTTGAGGCAGGGTCTCTCTTTGTAGTTCAGGCTGGCCCTGAACTCACTATGTAGCTCAGGGTGGCCTCGAACTCACAGCGATCCCCCTCAGATTCAGACTCCCAAGTGCTGGGACTACAGGCATAAGCCACCAGGCCCAGCTATTATGCTATTGTTTTTATATCCTGAAATGCACAGAAAGCAATCACTGAGACATCAAAGTAGAACCAAATCAAAGACACCCATCGAGCACCTGGATATATCTAGAATGCAAAATAAAGTTTTTTAATATCATCTTGTATTTTCAGTTAATATATAAAGTAGTTCCATTAACATTTCTTAAATCAAACTATATCACACTGAAAACAAAAAATAAAAGCATGCTTCACATTACTGGATGAAACAGGCTGAAAACACACTCCCCATCTGCCACTAGGCCAATCCCACCTTCTCAGCACGGCCAAGCATTACTGCAAATAGTAAATGTCATATGCAAAACTCCTCTCTGATCATCACAGAGAGGACTAGCAGGCAGGTAGGAGGAAGCCAGGATCAAAGATTCCTAACAACATGTTTTGTTTCAGCCACCAAGCATGTCATACAGTGGAGACAGGTATGCCATCCAGCTGTGGCAAGACCCGAGAAAGGGGACATGCTCTTCATCTCCCAACCAAACCACCAGCTCCCACCAGAAACACTAAAAATCTCATTTTGCCCATACCGTCAGTGCTCATCTTTTTTTTGTGGTATAGCTTATTGGTTAAGAGCATGGGCTTTAGAGCCAGACTATCTGGGCTGAATCAATCTCAACTGTATGACTAAACCAGTCAGTGAACCTTAAGTTTTTCTGTCTATAAAACAAGGATAAGATAGTATTTACCTCAGAGTTGACATGAGGATTACGTGTAAATAAAACACTTAGAAAAGTATCTGGGATAAATAGGCAGTACTATATGAGAAATAACTAATTTTATTAAAATTATTGACAGGAGGGAACTAAACAACAGTAGCTTAAATAACTAGATCACTACTGAAGTTCAGAAGTCAAAATAATAAATGAAGTTCACAGATCAGTTCTGCAGGTTTTTCATCTAATATTTATGTACTGAAATTCACCTGCAAAGGTGGATATTCACCCAAAGGACAATCATGCCATATGTGGATACTGAATGACCTACCAGTGCTATCTTTGCACCTTCCTTCCTTGACTAGTACCACCTCCAGAACTAAAGCAACAGCAAATCTTGTAAAGTTTCCTGTCTAAAACAATTATCAATTTCAAATCTCCAGAAATGTGATTTTTTTTCTCCCTGAGCTATCAGGTAAGAAATGTTAGTCTCACTTTTACTGCCCAGATGCTCAGCCTTATGCTACAGATTTCAGGTCATTTGGGTAACCATTTCCTTTCTTCCACTGGCCTCTGAACCCCTGGCAGACAAAACTCTGTCCTGGTCCTCTCTAGATCACACATGGCCAGTGCTTCTTATACATCCATTACATTTAGAATTCAATGTGGAACAGGAAGAACTCATTCCTTCCTATGAGATCTACAACTTTTAACAATAAAATGTACAAGGTAAAATGTACACTAGGGAAAAGGCATATAAGAATTTCTGGGGCCAGGGATTTAGCTCAGGGGTTCCGCTGCCTGCCTCAAAAGTGCAAGGTCCCAAGTTCAATCCCTGTACCCGACCCCCCAAAAAAAGGAATTTCCCCTAGGAAACTGTTAATACACCCCTGGGGAAAAAATTATTCATCCAGCCCAAAAGTGAAACCAAAGAAAAACTATGATCCTTAATGCAATTTAATGATAGTGGCACTACTTCCATGGGGTGCTATGTAAATATAGGAGACAAATTATATTTCAATGCTTCCAAACAATAGATTCAGTAATAACAATGCATATAATGCATTGTAAATATATTTATTCATAAGAACAACACATCTGAAATCACAATTTCCTGGGCATTACCCTTAGGAAAGCCTCCAATTTTAAAGAAACTCTATAAGAGAGTACAGAGAACAACCAGTACAAGACACAGGGTTCAAGGGAAAACTCTTGCTAATGTGCTGTCTTCAGACACTTTATTCTTGTTTACCCCCTTTCCATATCTTTTCAGACTATCTCCTTTACCCAACTTTCCCTTTCTCCCTGCTACAGAAGCTTTCTCTCAGAGCAGAAAATTAGTCTTGAAGCCTGGTATCAGAACTCAAAAGAATTTTTTACCATGATCTCCATGGCACATGGAAAACCATCAAGGCCAAGCACACTGTTAGATTCAGCACAGGCTACTTAAGTATAGGTGACCATCCTCAAGGCTGGAATAAAGACTCAATAACAGGGCCAGGGATTTAGCTCAATGGTGCTGCCACCGGCCTTGCAAGCACAAAGTCCCGAGTTCAATGCCTGGTACCAAAAACAACTCAATAATATTACAAAGTTCACAGTGTCCAGGACTCTAATCACATTCTGCTCAAAGGAGTTAAGGGAGATATATGAGAAGCTATTAATATGGCTCCTCTACCATGCTGGTACATAATTCAGTTTTTTCACTTCCACTATAAAAAAACAACAAACAGAAAAAAAAACTTTAAAAAAACAGCAAGGCCTAGCATGATGTTGCACTCCTGTAATCCCAGCTATTTAGAAGGCAGAAGGACTGCAAATTGAAAGACCAGTCTGGGCAATGCAGTGAGACCCAGCATCAAACTAAAAAAAAAAAAAAAAAAAAAAAATTTCAGGGAATGTAGCACAGTGGTACAGCACTCCTGGGTTGGATCCCCAGTACCATAAAAATACATAAGTAATGTAATTATTATGGTTTTGTTTTTGAGACAGGGTCTTGCTTTTTAGTTCATGGTGGCCCTTAACTCACTATGTAGTCCAGATTGGCCTCAAACTATGTTGTTTGGGCTGGCCTCTAACTCACAGCAATCCTCCTGCCTCAGCCTCCCAAGTGCTTCAGATTATAGGCATGCACTACCATACCTGGCAAGTAATGTAATCATTATGTACTACAAACGTATCTAATTAAAAAACAGTAAGGCAAGCTGGGCATGGTGGCGCATGCCTGTAATCCCAGCACTTGAGAGCCTGAGGCAGGAGAATCACCATGAGTTTGAGGCTTCCTGGGCTGCATAGTGAGTTAAAGGCCAGCCTGAACTACACAGTGAGACCCTATCTGAAAACAAAACAACAAAAAAATGCAAGGCAGGGCATATAGCTCAGTTGGATCTCCAGCAATAAAAAAAGAAAAACTAAAGGAACAGCAAGTTCAAATGGAATTTACATTTTCTAAAATTTATTTTCTTCAATAAGTCATTGCACTCCCATAAACAGTAAGAGAATACTTGAATTTTCCACTGCCTATGGTGGAATTTATAGCCACTATTTTAAATTTTTACAGTAGTGAGGGAATCATGCAACAAAAACACCTTTTATCTCAATCCGAGAGATAATCTATGTATCAATACAGTGAACCCTTGAGTTACAACCAGCCTCACATATGAACAACTTGGGTTACAACTGGAATTTTAGTTTTGACTTAAGACCAAAGTCTTGAGTTATGACCCAAATGCTAGTCTTTCCGGTGTGGAGTTAATTGAGAAATCCTCAATTAATTGAGAAATGTCTCTCTAAGGACAATGAGATCTACCTGGAGAAAGTGAGGCCTAAAATTATACAAGAGAGAGACTTTGAAGGCTGTGTAGAGGAGCCTGAGCCTTCAACTGACCCTGTGATTGATGACAGTGTCACTATAGCAGAGTCCATAGGCTTGCAGGTAGACAGTGGTGACGTTGAGGAACTGGTGGAGGAATGCTCAGAGGAACTGTCTACAGAGGAACTTCAGCAACTTCTGGCTGAGCAAGACAATGGCATCTGAGGAGCTTTCTGAAGAGGAGGGGAGTGTCAACAATCAGTGCAGCAAAGTTCCTCTTCTGAAATAAAGGAAACCCTGAAAAAATGGAGAGAGCTACAAACATCTGTAGAGAAGACCCACCCAGACAGAGAAAAAGCCAATCGGTGCATTCACTTGCTTAATGGCACTGTCACATACTACAGAACAGAGTTAAAGAAAAGACAGAAACAGGGCCAGAGATTTAGCTCAGTGGTTTTGCCACCTGCTGCACAAGCGCAAGGACTCAAGAAAAGACAGAAACAGACAACCTTAGACCAGCTTTTAGTTCTGAAAAGGCTGAGACCTAGTGAGCCAGAAGCAGGTCTTAGTGGGCTACGGACTCTCCCAAGGAGAGAAAGGACACAAGAGAGCCAGATTCCTGATGTTCTCATGGAAGGGGACTCTCCTTCCAAACAGTAATCACCTTCCACTTCATCCTCCCTTCCTGAAAGCAAGATACCAATTTAGTAACTTTGAATGCGAATGCTGACCACAGTATGAAATTGTTGTTTCTGGTAAACTAGGTACATTTTATAACTTTTTGGTGACTACACTAGAAAAATTATTGGTGTTTCTGATAAATTATGCACATCATACAATTTTTTTATTATGAAAAGGTTAGTCAGGGGTGCTATGGGAGATTCGGAACGCATTATGAGTATTTTCATTATTTCTTATGGGAAAAAGTCTTGAGTTACAACCAACTTAAGTTACAACCAGCCTTCGCAAAACCAATTTAGTTCATAAATCAAGGGTCCACTGTACAAAACTCTAAACTGCTAAGTTTAGAGAGCTGGAAAACTTAAGTCTCTCCCATACTCCTAGTAACCTTATTTTCCCTTTCAGATTCAGAAATTCAGGTAGCGCAGGTTAACCCTCATCCCATATTAAGTATGAAAAAGTTTACCAACTTTTGTTCCTACAAAGAGTATTTCTTTTGTATTTAGGTTAGAATTCTACCTATTTTTTCATTTTGGAGTTTTTCTATTCTGATTTTACTTTCTTTTCTTTCTTTTTTTTTTTTTTTTTCTCTCTTCCTGTTACTTTTTCTTCTCTTCCTTTTCCTACTTTTCTTTCTTTTTTTTTTTTTTTTGTGGCACCAGGGATCAAACTCAGGTCCTTGCGTTAGCAAGGCAGGCGCAGTGCCACTGAGCTAAATCTCCGGTCCTCTGTTTTGATTTTTTTTGAGACAGGGTCTTGCTATGTAGTTCAGGCTAGACTGGAACTTGTAATCCTCCTACCTCAATCTCCAAAGTGCTAAGATTTCAGGCATGTGCCACCATGCCTGGCCGTTTATGAAAAGTAAAAAAAGCTAAATACACTTTGACCTGTTTTTTTTTTTAATTTGTTACAGTACCAAGGACTGAACTCAGGGATCATGGAACTACATCTCCAAGGGCTTTTTGAGACAGGGGCTCATCAAGTTGCCAGGGTAGGCCTCAAACTTGTGATTCTCCTCCTTCAGACAAGTACAGTAACTGGGATTACAGGTGTGTACCACCATGCCTGGCTGACCTCTAGTTCTTAAGTCTACCAATTTTTAATATTTACCACTTGTCCAGCAGAGTTTAGGGCATTTAAATCACCCTTTTCTCACCCTCTCATCACCTTCTGCTAATCACTTTTTTATTTTTCATATTTGCTCTGATCACTTTCACACCTGTCAAACTATTTGTAGATGCATTAATTTCAGAGTATCACTGGATTTCCTACTATATAAAATAAAGTTCCATGTTCTATTTATTTTCAATGTGACGCTGGGGATCAAACCCAGGGTTTTGCACATGCTTAAGCACACATTTTACCAGTGAGCTACCCCCACAGCTCCTTTGCCCTCTTTTTTGACAAGCATTTAGCTGAGTATAGTTCTGTTTAAACAATTTTAGTTTAAGAATACAAAATTTCATATCAAATCAAAATCCAGGGATTTTTTGGTAAACCAAGGTTCCAAAGTAGACAGAAAACATTCTACTCCCCAAGTCCTCTCCAAACAAATGCTATCTATAAGTATTTCCAAAATATAAGGAACTCTAATCCAAATGCAAAAAAGCAAATAAGCTAGATGAATATTCAGCTCTCAGAAGAGAATGAAAGCTTCAAAAATCATCTGCTATAAAGCATCAAAATTCATTTTTTCTGTGCTGGGATTAAACCGAGACCCTCTGCACTCAGCTACATTCCCAGTGCCCCACCACCATCACCTTTGTTGGTGACAGGATCTCACAATTGCTAAATTGCCTGGACTGGGCTGGAACCTGTGATTACTTGCTTCAACCTCTCAAAGTGCTGAAATTACAAGTCAGTCCCACCTCATGGGCAAAATTTATTCTTCAGGGCCAGGGATGTAGCTCAGTGGTAAAGCATTTGCCTAGCATAAGCAAAGCCCTGAGTCTGATCCCCAGTAACACAAAACCAAAACTTATTTAAACTTTTATCAAAAAAGAGAAAACCAACCTAGTGTGGTGGCACACCTGTGATCCCAGCTACTGGGGAAGCTGAGGCAAAAGGATCACAAATTCATGGATTGAGGATGTAGCTCAGTGGTGTAATGCCCCAGGTTCAATCCCAAGTATGACTAAATTAATTAAATAAAATAAAAAGAGCTAGGCTGTACCTCAGTGGTGAAGTACTTGCCTACCACGCATGAGGTCCTCAGTTCAGTCCTTAGCAGTATCAAAAGGGGAGTGGGATGCTAACATATTTAATCTAACGAAATTTTATTTATATATCCCAGTATTCTTTAATTATATATTAGGAAAAAACTATCAAAAAATGTATCAGAGGGCCAGGGATTTAGCTCAGTGGTTTCACCGCCCATCTCACAAGCGCAAGGTCCCAAGTTCGATGCCCGATACTAAAAAAAACAAAATACATCAGATCCACCCAATTGTTTTTTTTTGGTACCAGGGATTGAACTTGGGTCCTTGCACTTGCGCAGCAGGCAGTGAAACCACTGAGCTAAATCCTCGGCCCAGATCCACCCAATTTTAACTACTGTGCTTTACCGTGGGTTAGTGCCGGACACAACACAATGCAGTCCTCCCACACATAAATTATCATTTTATTACTAGAAAAAGATGGTGCCATGGAAAGAGATTACTCTGAAACAATCATTTCCACAGGTCTGTTTGCTAATCCCTCTTTTTTCTATTTAAGTACTATGGGAAAGAAAATCTAAGTACTCACCAGAATCACCCTTCCTTGGATCACTTATCTCTGATACTTCTTCCAGTGTCTCCAAACAGTTCTGCAGAGTAGGTCTTGAATTAGTGATGGTCATAGTTCCCTTCCCATCTCCTCAGAGAAGACAGTTCAAGCTGCCTCACAGAATCCTGTCTCTTCTTTGGTCCTGAACCCCCCTCAAGGCTCCCATCTATTCTAGCAATGGCTCCTCATAGCTTAGCAAGTCTCGTTTGAAGAATATAGTTACATGAAAAGAACAATTTCCACTTTAAGAATTATACTCATGTCTGTCCTAATTAATATAAGGATCATTTCAAAGAAACAGAGCAGAAAAAATATTTCTATTCCTAAAGATAATTAATCCACTACAAGTTTGTGATAGAAATCATCCCACTGGGCCATTTATCTGTTCCATGACTCGAAGAAATCCCGATTTAGGGGCATTTTCATTATAATTCTACTTTTTTGGACAACATATACTTTCAATGAGGAACTTTAAATTCATGTTCCTATGAAATACTGATGGGCTGTAAAATAGCACAACCATTTTCGCAAGCTAGAGAAGCTGAAAATACCATTCCATAAAGCCCAGTAATCCTACCTGTAGCTGCACATGGCATATGTATGTATAAAGGGTACTTATATACGAATGGTCATAGCAGTATTTTTGGTCAAACACTGAAGGCAATTTAAATGTTTATTAACTGAGGAAGTAAGAAATTATGGTATATTCAAATAACACAGAGTAGAAATGGGAATCAACTACTGCTGCACACATCGACAAATTTTTTTAAAATGATGAAAAAGGAGCAACCAATAATAAAGCATGGCCAGACATGGTGGCACACACATGTAACCCCAGCACTTGGGAGGCTGAGGCAGGAGGATCGCCTCAGGAGTTCGAGGCCAGCCTGAGCTACATAGTGAATTCAAAGCTAGCTGAAATACAGAGACCCTGTTCAAAAAAAAAAGAAAAAGAAAAAGAAAAAAAGTAAAGCATGATTCCATTTATAAAAAATAAAAACTAAATTGTTTAGAGATACAAAGTTGGTAAATCCAAAAAGAAAAACAAAGAATAAGATTATCACACAAGTCAGAATAGTAGCTGTTTCTTGGGATTGAGAAGCTGGACCCATAAAGAGTTCAGGGATGCTGACACTGTTCTTGTTCTTTTTTTGGTTTTTGGTTTTTCTGCAGTACTAGGGATTAAACTCAGGCTCTTCCCACTGAGCTACATCCTCAGCCCTTTAAAAATTCTTTTTTTTAAACCAAGCGTGGTGGCACACCCGTAATCCCAGCACTCAGGGGAGGCTGAGGGAGAAGGAACTAAAGTTCCGGGCACCCTGGGCTACACAGTGAGTTCAAGGACACCCTGAACTACATAGTGAAGACAGTCTCAAAAACAAAACTAAACTAAACTAATTCTTTCTTTAAATTTTCAGACAGGGTTTTGCTAATTCCCTAAATTGCCTAGGGTAGCTGGAACTTGCAATCCTCCTAGACTACTAGAATGCTGGAATTAGAGCCATGTGCCACCACACTCAGCTGGCCTGTTCTATTTCTTACAATAGTCACAATGAAGCTTACTTTATAATTTTTTTTTTGGTACCCGGGACCGAACTCGGGTCCTTGCACTTGCGAGGCAGGCAGCGGAACCACTGAGCTAAATCCCTGGCCCGCTTACTTTATAATTTTTCATTCAGCTGTACACAGAGCATATCTATATAAAAAATGTACATACACAGAAAAATATTTCTTTTTTTTATTATACTGGAAATTGAACCCAGGACCTCTATACTGAACCACATCTTCAGCTTTTTAAATTTTTTATTTTCTGACAGGCACTTAGTAAATCAGCCAGGCAGGACTCCAATTTGTGATCCTCCTGCCTCAGCCTCCCAGAGTATTGGGATTACAGGCATGTGCCATCGTGCTCAACTTTACCAATTTAAAGAAAAAGAAGGGACTGGCTTTTTTTGTTTTTGGTTTTTTAAGACAAGGTCTCACTATGTAGTACATGCTGATCCTGAACTTAAAACTTGCTGTGGTCCTCCTGTCTGCTTCAAGAGTGCAAGTGCTTGGATTACAGGCATATGCCACCATACCCAGCTTTAGCATTGGCTTTCTGATACAGCCTGTCATTTTACCTACAGTTTTGCCCTGGCTGAAACACTAAAACCAAAGAAGCATTCCTTTTCCTCTTTCAGCAAAACAAGACATCATTTTTTCATGCGGACACTTCAGTGTAACAGAAATCACAGTTGAGGGCTAGGAATGTAGCTCAGTAGCAGAGTATGTGCTTAGCATACTGTTTTGACTCCTAGCACTAACAACAAAAAACAAACAAAAACAGAAATCACAATCCAATGTGACAGAAAACAAAAAAACAAAGAAAAGCATTTAAGTCTGGAAAGGATTTACAACATTTGAAGCAAACTCCAGGGCAACAAAGTAACTGAAATAGGTGTCTATATTACACCTCATTCTAAGACCAATCCAAAAATGAGAGACCTTAAACCAGGAACAGTGGCACCCACCATATACCTGTAATCTAGGAACTACAGGAGGCTGAGACAAGAGGATCACAAATTCGAGCCAAGGGACAACTTAGTGAGACCACATTTCAAAATTAAAAAATAAAGTGTTGGGAATGCAGCTCAGTGGTAGGGTGCCCGTGTTCAATCCTCAGTTCTGCAAATGAAAAATAAACACAAACCGACTTTTACACTGCCTGACATGGTAGCACAGTAATCCCAGCTACTCAGGAGACTAAAGCAAGAAGATAGATCACAAGGAGGCAGCCAGCCTGGGCAATTCAGCTAGACCCTGCCTAAAAATTAAAAATAAAATAAAAAGAGCTGGAGATGTAGCACATATAAGACACGTGCCTTGCATAGACGATGCCTGGGTTCAGTCCCCAGCACCACGCAAAAAAATAAAAAAGACCTTCAGTTCCACCACCTCCCTTGCAAGCACAAGGTCCTGAGTTCAAACACCGGTACTAAAAAAGACCTTTGAAGATAAAGGGTGGTCAATTAAAAAGCACAGAAGACTGCCAGGGATTTAGCTCAGTGGTTCCACTGTCTGCCTCACAAGGGCAAGGTCCTGAGTTTGATCCCTGGCACCAAAAAAATAAATAAAATAAAAAGCACAGAAGCAAGACGCACGGCACATCAAGCACACATACCAACTGATGATATTAAAAGAAAGCATGCAAGCTTAAAGAAAGATATGCCTGTTTTGAGGCTGCTATAAAGGAGGAGAGCTACACCCAAAGCCCCTGACTGTGGTTATTTTATAGTAAATCAAATTTATAAAAAAAATTTCAACTGGCCATGGTGGCGCATTCCTGTATTCCCAGCACTTGGGAGGTTGGGGCAAGAGGGTCCCTGAGTTCAAGGCCAGCCTAAGCTATACACTTGAGTTTAAGGCCACCCTGAATTACATAACAAGGCCCTGTCCCAAAAAAACAAAAAACAAAAGAAAATTCAACAACTATTTGATCTTTTGTTTGAAATGGCAACACAAGCTGGAAAGGAGATGTTCAGCTGCAGAAGTTCATGGAGAGGTACATAATTCCATCACAGAATACTAGAATAATTCAAATATGTAAATCTTAGCTGCTGAGTTATGGAAACATTACATACAAACATTAAAAGATCTCAACATAGGGCCGAGGATTTAGCTCAATGGCTTCGCTGCCTGCTGCGCAAGAGCAAGGACCCGAGTTTGATCCCCAGTACCAAAAAAAATAAAATAAATGATCTCAATGTAGTTAAAAACAAAGGCAATTCCAGAACAAGGAAGCCTAAAAGGCATAACAAAATTTTAAGTATATCTTGGATAAACTTGACTTGGGAGGATTTAGGTCATCCTTGGATGCTTTGCTATTGCTAACTGATACAAGTTGCACTGACTTACATTTTAAGAGAACACTTTTTTTTGGTACCAGGGATCGAACTTGGGACCTTGTGCTTGCGAGTCAGGCAGCGGCACCTCTAAGCTAAATCCCCGGCCTAAGATAACACTTTTCAAGCAACGAACTGTGGCTGTATTCAGAGATGCAGTCTCCCACATCTTCCATTTTCCAGTACCTAGCAGTTTCTGATAGACAGCACCCAGAATGATTGACAAGATTTGTAATTTTTCAGTATTACCAGGAAAAAACTGTGCATACATACTTCCAGCACATGAACGATTTAACTCACCAGTCACCATGTTGAATGTATTTCTGCTGCTTGTCCTGAGTTAAGACTTCTAACATTCTGAAGAAGATAGAACAAAGAAGTTCCTTCCATCCTCAGCCTCTTTTTAAGTTTTAATTTTGTTCTTTAAAAAATACAGTATATTTTTATAACTCCCCCATCATTATCCAATTTGCTAATTTCGCTACTCTTAGCTTCCTCTTCAACCTTAATGAAGCAAACAGTAAAACATAAGCTAGGAGATATTTTATCTTAAGAAAATGAGGCACGAATTTCCCCAGGACAAACTTAGAATTCTCTTAGAGCCAGAACATTACTGAAGTGAAAAAGGGGGTGGGGGAAGAGCGGAGAAAGCTTTAAGTCATCTGACTTTTATAGTGATACATAAACAGGCTTTAGAAATTTATACCGGGGGGCCAGGGATTTAACTCAGTGGTTCTGCCGCCTGCCCCGCAGGCGCAAGGTCCTGAGTTCGATCCCCAGTACCAAAAAAGAAAAGAGAAATTTATAATGGGGAACTTTGAATTTTAAAAAAAAAGGCAAAACATTTTCAGATTCATCCAATTTGTTCTAGGCAACTTTCTGGCTGAGGAGTGAGCTCAGTGGAACAGACTAAAGTTAGTTCCTCCCACTCATGCAGGAAAAAAAAGACTGCATTTAAGGATTTAAAGGGGCATTTTAGAGCTCACAGAGTTTCACATCTTCTACATAGGAGAGAGAATCCCCTTCCGGAGCGCACGGAGGTGACGTGTATGAATTGCGCTTATGGAAGAACTGGTTTCTAATGAAAAGAAAGCAGATACTACTGAAGGATCTTGTAGACATTAACGTTCCCTCCTTGGCACAAAGGCATCAGCACAACGTGAGAAAGCCCGAGGGAACTCTACCCTCTCGGGCCAACAGGACTCGGTTTCCGATGCAGGTCAGCACCCTCCCCAAACACCCAACCCGCACACTGGCCGCAGATAACCACGTTCTTTGAGAACAAGCAGCAATCTCGCCCGCCTCGCAGAGAAGCGGAGCCGCAAACTAGCCAGCAAAGCCGCTAGGTTTCTCTGCAGGCCTAGACCATGGCTGCCCGGGAACGTCACCAGAGCAGGAAGAGCCCAACCTTCAAACTTCCCCACGCAGCGAGCCTCCAGCCCGCCGCCCCTAGCCTCAGAAGCGGAGTCCTGCGCGCTCTCGAGGCACCATTGCGACCCAACAGGAGGGCGTGAGACAGAAAACTGGAGGTCGCAGACAGGCGCGCGCCCCAGAAGCCGCTCCTCTCGTGGACCACAGCTATGAGAGCCGAAATACCGAGACGAGGACGCGCACGTCAGCGGCCACGCGCCCCCAGAGAGCCGCACAGCGCGCGCGCCCCCGCACGTAAAAACACGCTCGGGGCGCGCCCGCAACAGCGCGCGCACCGCGCCCACAAGAATCTTCGGTCCGCCCCTCCCCCACCCAGGGGCGGGGGCATGCGAGCCCAGGGACGTTCCGAGCTCGGGAGCCGCCCGGAGCTCTCCTGGGCCCCGCAGCAGCGGTCTGCCCGCCCCCGCCCGCCGTTGTGTGGGGTGGGCCTTCGGCCCAGGCCTGCACTCTTGCCACATCCCCGCCCCCACTGAAGCCCTCACCCAGCGACGTCACGGCCGCCGCAGCCTCCACTCGACCCGCCGGCCCCGCCGCACCGCCCGGGGGCCCGGTTCCGCCGTCGCCGACCCAAGACCGACAGGATTTTCTCCTCACAGATCCCTGAGCGCCATCTTACATTCAACCCTCACAGCCAATGGGTGCCGAATACCCCTCTCGCGAGAATCCGAGCGTGCGATCCCGCGAGAGGTGAGGCTGCCTCCCGGCCAGACTTAAAGTGAACGCTTCGGACCGAGAGGGAAGCCGCGCCCCAGGCTGCCGGAGCCTAGAGCAAATCCCAAAGTGGGGAGGAGCGCACCGCCCACGGACGCCCCTCGAAGTGGGGCGGAGCCAGGGTGGAGTTCGGCCCAGCGGGTGGCCTCCGCAGGCTGGGGCTGGGAGCTCCCCCTGGACCCACCTTCGGCCGCCCGCCGGAGCCTCCTTTGGTGGCGCAGCCCCACGCGGGCCCCGCCCTGGCGTGGGTTGGCCTCTCGCTTAAGGTGGCCCCACAAAGCCCGACCCGGGCCCGTCGCGCCCCTCCGCCTTCCCTCTTCCCAAGTTCCTGTGCTGCTCACCTCTTGAAGCACCCAGCGTTTAGGACCCTCGCCTGGTACTGCCGTTGAACTCGGCTTTCAGCAGTCAGGTCCACCTTAAAGCGGCCCGGGGTAGCTTGGTGTTTGTATACAGGGAAAATGTGCAAGCCTTTAAAGCTGCAGGCACACATGGCAGCCCACACTACCCAGAGGGCCACCAGCCTGCCATGCCTCTAGGCCTTTGCACTTTTCCTTTTGTTCTGGCAAATCTCCCTAGTCCTTCAAGGTTTGTCAGAAATTATTTCTTGAGAGTGGATAGTCTAAGGCCACGCTGGGTCAGGAACCTCTTCCCACTCTTGTACAGACCCCAGGAAGCTCTCTCCCATACACTGGAGACCTTTGTCACCATTGACTCCCCTTTCCTAGATGAATTTGAAAGGTGCCACATTTCTGCCTAATGTCGTGCTTGGCACATACTAGACACTCATTATTTGCTGAATAATCAGACTAGGAACCAAGCTTGTTTGCCTGGGCACACAGACACAAATTACATCTCTCTAGCACAGGGCTCCTAACCATGGTACAGCAACTCCAGGGCACGCCAGCCCCTCAGACCAGGTGCAAAGGATATTAATTCCACCCAAGTCTCTGCACTTGAGAGCCAAGCACTGCATAAGATGTTTTAAAGCTATCAGTGTCCCTTTGTTTTGGGAAAGCCCATATACACACACAGCATGTCTTAAGTCCCCAGGTACTATAAGAGCAGACAACACAGTCCTCGGGAGATTTAGCTATTCTTTATTGACTTGGGAGTGTGGGGCGATTCAGGCCCCTGCCCCAGCCTTCAGGAGGGTGAGGTAGGTTCATAATGCTTCCAGTTCACAACTTTCCTGGGTCCTCCTTCAGTGTGACAGTTCGGTTGAAGACAAGCTGCAGGGCAGTGGAAGAAGAATGAGTACTAACCCAGAACCAGGCCAAATGGCCTAGATAGGTTTCACCATGACTCCTTCCTCATCCCAGAGGAACTGACGGACCAGGGATCAGGAGATGGAAGTTCTCAGTAACTTTGAGACTATGGGTAAGGGACCAGGGGGCTCTGGAGCTCGATTTCAGAAGGATTCTAACAACCCCCATGCTTGCCCCCTACTTTGAAGATTAAGTAGGGTCGATATAAAATTGTGTGCATTGGACTTACTCTCTAAGCCAGTTTCCTCACCTGCAGAACATGAATGCCCCTACCCAGCTCAACTGGTGACAGGTAGCTAAGGGACTGTGAGCAGAGTGCTTATCACAATCAATGGCAGCCAACCTCACTGTTGGCTGAAAGGGACAGATGGATAAAGTCAAGTACCTGTCCTTGGCAGCTATCTGGATCCACAGAGAAGTACCCAACGCGCTCAAACTGGAGCTTGTCAAAAGGCTTTGCCAGAGCCACAGAGCAGTCTACTAATGCTGCTTCCACCACTCGCAAGGATTCCTACAGGCAGGAAACTCAGGCAGCAATCCAGCCAGGGAGGCCCACCACCCTCTCCACACTCTGTGAGCCTACCGGATTCAGGTCACAAAGGAATCCACCAGGGACCTCAGCAGGATCTTCAGGGTTCTTGTGCTGGAATCTACAGCCAGAATGGGTCAGACCCCTAGGTGGGCAGCCACAGCAGTCAATGCCCACCCTGTAATTGCTCCCACCCAGCTCTGTTCACTCACAGTCGCTCATAAAGGCGAATTTCACACTTTAGAGGCTGTGACACCCAGTGAATAAAAGCCTTGGGCTTCTCCCCAGCATCAGCCCGTGTGCAGGTCACCTCTAGGCTCTCCACACAGCCAGTGGGGCCCTGGAAGTGGGGAGACTGGCATTCAGGCTGGGGACCTACCACCAAATTCTGGCCCCAGCAAGCACTGCTCTAAGAAAGCTACAGCTGCCTCACCTTGACAACGTGCTGCAGCTCAATGACATAGCCTGTATGTCTCAGGCCCACCGGTTGGCCCCAAGCCAGGCGCTTATAGCCTGGCTCTGGCTCCTAAGGATAGAAAGGGGGTAGAAACAATGTCAGGCATGGTGGTGTATGCCTGTAATCCTAGCACTTGGGAGGCTGAGGCAGGAGAATCGCTGTGAGTCTAAGGCCACCCTGGGCTTACACAGTGAGTTCAAGGCCAGCCTGAACTACATAGCAAGACTGTCTCAACAAAACAAAAAAAGAAGCAAAAGGCTACAAGGGTCAGACAAGTATGAAGCTCTCCCCCCAACCCCATGTCTAATAGGGTCTGGTTCATTTGAAGCAAGTAGGAGATGGACTGACAGATGGGATGAGATGAAAAGACCCCAGAACTAGAAATAACAGCAAACAGAACCCTTTACCCCATTTAGAACCCATTCACCTCCTTGAAGTCCATCTTCTCAATGAAGACAATGGATGCAAAAGGAACCTGGTGGAAGCCCTTAGTCTCATCAGCTGGAAAGTTGGGCACCTGGATGTCTAAGTGCTATAAGCAGAAAACAGGTATATGATGCACATCAGGCACAAGGACCCCCATGCTCAGGCATACGCCCAGGCACACACCCACCCACCCTGAACCCATATTATCTACACATACACTGTTGAGATAGGCTCACCTTGGCAGCAGGAAAGTTGGTGATAACAACCTGTAGCGGTTCCAGCACAGCCATGGCCCGTGGAGCTGTGTCATTTAGCATATCACGCACACAGGCTTCCAGAAGATGTGGCTCCATTGTAGTCTGTGCCACTGTCACCCCAACCTGGTAAGAAAGTTCATCAGTCAAAGCCACAACTACATACTGTTACACCAGCGTTCATTTGCCCACCTGGCCCACTGGGCTATACCCGGGCACAGAAGCTGTTGATAGCTTCAGGCGGAAAGCCCCGCCGTCGCAGGGCCGTAAGTGTGAAGAGCCGTGGGTCATCCCAGTCCCTGTGGATGAGGTGATTGAGAAGATCTTTTGCAGCACATGCCACTCAAACTGCCACCCTTTGATGTGTCCAATAGCCACACCTACCGTACTGCACCAGCTGCTACAAGCTGGAGGATCTTCCTCTTGGAGACCACAGCATAGTGCAGGTTAAGGCGGCCATACTCCCACTGCACAGGGCAGTAGACATCCAGTGCATTGCACAGCCAGAAGTAAGAAGACCGGCTAGCATGGGAGGGTAGGGTTAGAACTGGCCACCACTGCAACCAGAGACCACAGAAAGGGCTACTGGAATCCCACTGGCCCTCCCCACCCATGGCCCCAGCTTCCTCACCGGGACTGGAATTCCTTGGTGCACAGTGAGTGGGTGATGTGCTCAATGGAGTCACAGAGGCAGTGGGTATAGTCATAGGTAGGGTAGATGCACCTGTGGGCATAGACAGTGAGCCCCACAATCCTGTCTCCTGCCCTGCCCCAGGCCTACAGCCCCAAAACCCCACCACATGGTCACACCCACCATTTGTCGCCTGTGCGGTGATGTGCTGTGTACTTGACTCGATAGGCCACAGGGTCCATCTTGCCATCCTCCATTACCAGCTTCATCCGCAGTGTGGCCTCACCCTCGGCAAACTTGCCCTTGCGCATCGCCTGGATAGATGAGTTTAGGCAGCCTCTAGCTACAAAGGCATCTCATTCTCAGCATCTTGGCCTGCCCAAACCCAGCTGCCCTTCCAGGACCTCACCTCAAAAAGCAGCAGTGATTCTTCCACTGGCCGGTCCCTCCAGGGTGAAGGCAGAGAGTTGTGACCTTTGAGCTCCTCCCCTCGCTGGTGGCAAACATAAGCCTGCCCCCTGTGGGGAAGGGTATGAGTGGCCAGCAGTCATGATGGGGTCAGCCTACCTGGCTCTACCTTATGGCCTGGCCTCACCTGTGGATGAGCTCCACAGCCCAGGCATACAGCTGGTCAAAATAGTCAGAAGCATATGTCACCTTGTGGGGAGTGTAACCTGAGGCAGTGCAAAATACAGAATGAGCCATTCACAAGACATGCCCACTGACAGGCCATGCCCAAGGGGAAGTTCACTGACACCAGAACTGCCTAGGCCTCACCCAGTCCGTACCCAGCCAGGTCACCATGTCATAGATAGCGGTAAAGAACTTTGCTTCCTCTTTCTCAGGGTTGGTGTCATCAAAGCGCAGAAAACAGATACCACTGTTGGCCTAGAAGAGCAGGAGTATC